GTTGCTGCATGGATGCTACCTCTATCTTCTCCTTTTACTGGTACCTGAGTTTTGCCTGGAACATCACATGCTCTGAAGCTATTTTTGTGGGAGGCTGCTCATTTCCTCACAACTCCACTGTCCCACAAACACATACACAAACACACATAATTCAAACCCTGTATCATGTGGCCTGAAGGAAGAGTTGGTATTCCATTCACTCCACATTGTTCTTCCAAGTTGATTACTTATCTACCCTTCATTGAAGCTGGAACAACTTCTCCTGTTCTTATTGCTGTCATCTAATGACTTCCTGACCACTCCTATGCACTAATGGAGGACTTGTGCATCTGGTTCACAACTTCCTCTTTTCCTCTACCTTCCCCCATCCTAGCTCAGCCATCATCCTGGGTGACTTCCATTCCCACACAGACAAGTCACCTGGAATTCAAACCTCACCTCCTTTTCCACTGGGGAAAACAAGATCCTCAAGAAAATTGTCTCCTTCCTCACCCTGCAACCTACTTAAATATCCCATCAGTGTCTATCCTTTCTTCCTCCCCTTTATCCTTGGTGTAAGAGGTGTTTCCCATTCCCTTATGAAACTTATGCCTCAGTCTGTACTCTGCATTCCATCATCACCTCCTTCCTACCTCTTTCTGGATTTATCCTGACAACTCTCTCCCAAACAAGAGAGGGTAGAAATAGAAGGGCAGTAGTATAGGGAATGCCTATATTCAGAAATAGAACAAAATCTAGGTCATAACTATCAGAACCCAGTGTAATTATGCTGGAGTTTTCAGTTTATTTACTAAACAGAGCAACCCAATGTGCTTAAAAAAAAGAGCAAATAATATGTTCTGTGCCATTTTTGGTATCAAGATTTTTTGGAATGAATAATATTAACCTCAGACAAGTAACCTGGGATACTTTCTACAGATGTGGTAATGAAACCCTAAGAGAGATTAATAAATCTGGAAATGGTCCAGAGGAGAGCAATTAAAATAATCTAAGCGAAAAAGCAACCGATGTTTTAAGAAAGACTAAAGGGATAAAGAAGCTCTTCAGTCTAGAAAAACAGCTGGAAGGGTCAACAGCAGCAGCAACAGCAATGCTAATGATGGGTGACATTTATTGAGTGCTCACTGTGTGTGAGATCATTCTAAATAGTTCACATGTGTCATCACAATCCTGACAATGATTTTAGCAGGTAAGTACTGTTCTTATCTCCACGTTACAAATGTGGAAACTGAGGCACTGTGAAGTTAAGTAACTTGTCCAATATCTCAGAGGTAGTAAAGGAGAAGCCAGAATTCAAACCCAATCTACTTCTAGAGCATATGCATTAAGTATAGATCTTCCAGCAAACAAATCAGAAAGATATGAATCATGGTGGTGGGAATTGAATGTGGGAGGTGGGAGTAGGTAGGGCAGGGGAGAGTAATGGGGGAAGAATGGGAACAACTGTAATTGAACAACAATAAAAAAAAAGAAAGAAAGAAAGAAAGAAAGAAAGAAAGAAAGAAAGAAAGAAAGAAAGAAAGAAATTAGCCAAGTAACCAATTTTGTTTACTAAGATTGAAAACTTGAAATACCAACACACCACTTAATGCTTTATTATTAAAGAATTTTTAAAAATATTTTCTTTATTTATTTTTCGAGAGAGGGGAAGGGAAGGAGAAAGAGTGGGAGAGAAACATCAATGTGTGGTTGCCTCTCATGCGTCCCCTGCCGGGAACTGGCCTGCAACCCAGGCATGTGCCCTGAGTGGGAATCGGACCGCGATACTCTGGTTCGCAGGCCCGCGCTCAATCCACTGAGCTACGCCAGCCAGGGCCCACTTAATGCTTTAAGAGGAAGAGAATGTATTGTCATTTGAATTTTTTACATTGAGCACACATCACTTTTGTAAAGAAAAATATTAACAATGCGATTTCAATATAAACATTGAAAATCTTAGTTTACCCAGAAGATGGTAAACTGGTTGTAATAAATATAAGTAGCTTGAAGAAAGATTTAGTACCCACAATAGATACAAACCTTTTATAGATACCTATCATAGTCAGGAATGTATTCCTAGAGAAAGTGGAGTTTTTAACCACTTAGGAAAGGACAGAGTGTGCTAGATGGAGGGAGAATATGTGTGGGAAATGGAGACATGGTTGAGTGGTGTACGAAATTACTGGTCTAGTTGGGTGGTGTGCAAACAAAATTAATTAACTTGAAGACAATTCTAGGATTGCAGTGGTTTTTCTATTCAATGGACTATGCTAGGGAAATGAGACGAGTCTTCATAAATAACATTTGGGTAGGAAACACTTTAAATATCATTATCCTTACCTTTACTAACATTCATATCACTTATCCACTGTGTATATGGGAAAATGTCTGTTTCTTTGGGAAAACTAAAGGAACTTCTGGAGTCACCTAAAAATTTAAATGCTCTTTATCATGAGGTGTGACTCTTGTCCTATGAACCCATGAAAACAGTGCTGCCAGTAAATGTACCTTGCACCTTTGGGATTAACTTTGACCAGTGTATGAGTGGACCCAAGGTACTTATTTGAATGACACAGTCTGTAATAACTGTGACAATGAATACAACACTTTGGCTTGCCCTTCAGGTTGGAGTCCACACATAAGACAATTAAAATCTCACTGCAGCCCTGACCAGTGTGCCTCAGTAGGTTATAGTGTCTCCCCATAACTGAGAGGTTGCTGGTTCAATTCCTGGTCAGGGCACATGCCTAGGTTGCAGGTTTGACCTCTGGTTGGGGCACATGCAGGAGGCAGTCAATCGCTGTTTCTCTCTCACATCAATGTTCTCTCTCTCTCTCTCTCTCGTCATAAGTCATAAAATAAACTTAAAAAAATCTGACTTCATGAAAATGAATTAACCACTTATTTCTAGAAAATGTGGCACTAGCCCTAGTTTTTTTTGTTTTTGTTTTTTTTTTGTCTCCACTCCATGGGTAAAAGAGTCAAAGGAAGAGAGTGGGGAATGCATTTTAAGAGGGTAATGGAGAAAACAAAACTTAATGTCTGGACACAAGTCACTTTCCTGAAGACTAGGATAAAGTAAATATAAAATTCCTTACTGGCTATTCCTTTTTTAAAATAAGAAACAAACTTCAACTCCTTTAAGAAATCTCCTAGTCATTTCCTGCTTTACATAAATTAACATTAGAAAAGGTCATTTAATACAGTACCCGAATAGGCTAATTTTGATTTGACTATTATCAAAGCCAAAAACAATTTTAATAGGCTTTTGGCAACTATCTTTTCTATCTTGTAACCTCCCAGGGGTGGAGAAGGAAGTACTTTCCTCTCTTGTAAAGAGAGATTATTTCCTGGTTTTCCCTGATATGAGGTTATAAATAGAACTACATTTGTACTGTGCTTGACATTGAGCAAGTACTGTTTCAAAGCTTGGCTTAGAGGTGAAGAAATTGGAGAATTCCCAGGGATAAATAATGACCATAATTAAAGGCTCGGAAAATGAGATCCAAGACAAAAACTAAATAAAATTCAAGAAATCTGATCATTTTGGAGGCAATTATATCAGAAAATGTTTATCATCAATTAAAGGGTTATCAAATTTAAGACAGCATATAAGTCCACAGAAACTTCTGAAGCCAATTCAAAGTAATGGAAGGACTCTTGATAAAGAACTTTACAAATAAGGGCATATCTCTCCCCTATTCTTTCCCATACTTTATTAATTTAGTAAACATTTATTTGAATGTCTACCATGTGACAATGTTTTAGCCTTAGACAGAAATCCCTGTCCTCTTGAAACTTACCTTACAGTGGGGTAAGAGAGACAGTACACAATAATAATACAACAAATGTAACAAATAGGTAAATTATAGAGCACGTTAGGTGATAAAAATGGAACGGGCTAAGGGGATTGGAAGGGAAGATTGCTAATTTAAAAGAGGTGGTCAGGATACATCTTCAAGCACAGGAGAGTGAGAAAACTGATGCAGCAGGGAAAATAATGTTGACCATACTATGCATGTACCTTGTGATATGCATTTTACAACCCTGTGCCACTCAGGGGGCACTGGAGAAATTGGTGCAGAGTTTGGGAAAAAAAGGATGAATTCAGTTTTGGCCATATGAAGTTTGGAGTGCCTGAGGATAAAAATAAATGACCAACAGGTAGTCGGAAATGCAGGTCTGGAGCTGAGGAGATACATTTGAGAGAGAGATGTCAATTTGGAATCACTGTAATATCAACAATGGCTGAAGTGGTGGACATGAATAAGTGAGCTAGCCAAAGAAGAGCAGAGTGAAAATAGGTAAAAGGGAGAACCTTACTATAGAACGTCAACCTTTTTAGGGGATAAAGACAACGAAAAATCGTGAAAGAAGGGTACAATTTATTCTGAACAGAGAGACAGATGGGGACAGACAAGATGGGCCTGCTTTGTTAGCATCCTTATATTTATCCCCTTTCATTTCTCCCTAATGTAAACTGGTTCTCTTCATGACAAAACACTCCCTCCGTGCTACACCCCTTGGGCGTGAATCCTGCTTAAAGGCCATTTGAAGGTAAAGACAAGGGAACTAACTTTTGTTGAGCATCCCCCTGAGCTTGCCACGTGTTTGGGTCTCAAAATACGCTGCTTTCCTTTGCACCCCACCTGCCTCCATGCTTTCACACTCTTGCCTCCTCCTGAGGTGCTGGTTCCCAAGGGGCTGAAACGTAGTAAAAGTCAACACAAAATAAAGGACTACGCTTGAGGGAAAAACAAAAACAAACAAACAAACGAAATGAACAAAATAAAAATCCCCTTCCGGGGACAGAAATCCCGCACTAAAGGACTTCAACCACCACTTTCAACCACCTCCCCTGCGGCTCCCCGCCCGCCCCACTGCCACGCCCTGGCCTGTCCACAGGCCACGCCCCTTGTCCCAAGTGCTTTGCTGGTGCCTTTCCTCTCCGCTTCCTAATTGGTCCACTTACGCCTCTTCTTTTACGCCCCCCTCCGTCAGCCCCACCCCTCGCAGGAGGCAGTGCTGAGCCAGCCGTCTCACAGGCACTCGCGGACTTTTTCCCGCGTGCTTCCCCCTCCTTCCCAGCATTCCTGTTTCCGCTTTCTAAAGGCACTTCGGTTTTGCCACCTCTGTAAAGGCTCTTCGCGCCCAGTGGTCCAGTGACGTCATCTTTCTGCGCTGCGTGGACACCGCTGTTGGTAGAGGGAACTGCTTCCCTGCCCTTCACTGCTTTCGTTGGGCTGCTGTTCATCCGGGATAATGGCGCTGTCACTGTGGAAGGGGCTGGTGGGCATCGGCCTCTTTGCCCTAGCCCACGCAGCATTTTCCGCTGCTCAGCGTAAGTGCCTGTGGGGCCCGGACCGCTCCGATGCGGGAATTCGGGGGCGGTGTATGGGCGCACCGCAGAAGGAGTGTCAAACCGAGGGTCCCAGGAAGGGTCATTCGAGACCTTAAGAGTTTGCAGTGACTACCAGAAGCGGTGCGGGGCTGCCCAGTGAAACATTGAAGCAGCGTTAGACGGGGGTGTCTGATAGAGGGCTCAGAGTGGGACAGGCACACTGCATGGTGGGTGAAGAGGGAGTCTATCTGGGGATCCAGGACGAGTGATGTCAGATCTAGCGGCAAAGTGTCAGATTGAGAGCCTCGGATGCTCATAGTCCCATGATAACTAGGTGGACAGCGTTTTGGGCACTCCTGGGCTGTCCAGGCAGTGACTGAGAAGTTATGTGACTATTTGCCTCAGATAGGGACTGGTACAGGGGAAAAAGCATTGGACTGGGAGTCACGAAGGCAGGTTCTTAACTCGCTTTGCCATTAAATCTGTGACCTCGGGTAAGTCATATCACATAGAGTGACACAAAGTTTAAGTGAAAAAAAGGCAGAAGGACTTTATCATATAGATAAAGTTGTATTGTCAAGAAAAAAGTTGGAGCCCAGCAGAGGAGTGAAGTCTTGAGACAGCTGATCTGTTTTGACGTCTTCTCTCCTAGACCAAGGGTCAGCAAACTCTGGCAAGTGGGCCAAATGCAGCCTCCCTCCCATTTTCATAGTGAGCTGAGAATGTTTTTTACATGTTTAGTTTGTTGGGGGGAGGCAAAATAATGTCATTTTATGACCCATGACAATTATATAAAATCAAAGTTCCAGTGTTCATCAGTGAAGTTTTATTGGCACATAGCCATGCCCATTCATTTATGTATTGTCTGGAAGCTTTCTAAGGGCAGAGTTGAGTTTGAAATAAAAACAGAATGACCTACAAAGCCCAAAATATTTATTATCTGGCCCTTTACAGATAAAGTTGGCTGACCACTGTCCAAGCCATAGAGCCTACAAGGACAGGGACAATGTACATTTTTTGTTCATTGCTGTAATCTTGAGCCTAGTACAATTTTCCTCACAATAGGTACTCAATAAATCTGTTAAATGAGTGAAGGAACTGAATTCAAACTTGAACTTTATTCTTTTATTTGGTGGATTGCTTTTCTTCTTTAGGAATAAAGTAGAAAATGAGATTTGAATTCCTTCAAAGCTCCAATTTTTTTTCAAGTTGAAACCTTTTATTGTGCCCTGGCTGGTGTGGCTCAGTGGATTGAGTGTGGGCCTTCAAAGTAAGGAATCACCGTTCCATTCCCAGCCAGAGCACATGCCTGGGCTGCAGGCCAGTTCCCAGCACGGGACACACAAGAGGCAACCATACATTAATATTTCTCTCTCTCTCTCTCTCCTTCCCTTCCCCTCTAAGGATAAATGAATTAAAAAAAACTTTTATTATGTATTATATATAATTAAAATAATCCAATTATTTTAACAACTTATCACATACATGCATTATGACAATGTCCGAGGAAATGCAACTTATTTTTTAAATAAGTTGTTATTTAGAAATTTTAGATTTACAAAAATTTGCAGAGGTACTGCAGAAAGTGACTGTATCCCCTCACCCAAGCATCCACCATTGATAGCATCTGATATCACCATGGTTTATTGTCACAACTGAGAAACTGACATTGGTATGTTACTGTTAACTGAAGTCTAGCTTTTATTTGGATCTCATCAGTTTTTCATTAATGTCTTCTTTCTGTTCTAGGAATCAGTCTAGTGTATCACATTACATGTAGTTGTCATGTTTTCCCAGTCTCCTCTGTTCTGTGCTCCAGGCTTTAATGATGATAGTAATTCCCATTAGTAAGTGCTTAATGAGTGCCAGGGACTGAACTAAACACTTCACTTATATAATTCAGTCCTGCCAAAAGCCCTGGAGGTAGCTGTTATTGTTAAAATTGTCTTTGAAACATGAAGAAATTGAGACACACAACTAGGACATTTGCATGAAAGTACAGAGATGAGAAATGGTGGAGCCGGGATTTAAAGACAGGGAGTTTGAGTCTAGAGTCTATGTGCTACACTGCTTTATGAAATTAGGTGTCGGGGATTTGGTTGAAATTGTACTGTGCATAGATGATGGAGGTAGTGTGAGTGATGCCCGAGGTAGTCCAATGGCAAGTGGAAAAACAAATGGATCAATAAATAATCACAGTAGAATGACATAAATGCCATGCTAAAAGTATGTAAAGACACGTGGAGATAGGGGCAGACCTACAGCCTTGAGGCGGTAAGGTCAGCAGACCAGCATGGTTGTAATCACTTGGGAGCTTGTTAGAGATGCCTGCTCCAGATCTATTGAATCCGAATCTGCGTTTCAGTACGATCCTCAGGTGATTTGTGCGCACATTCCTTTGAGAAGCACAGCTCTAGGGGAAGGTGGGACTCTGGAGTATTGCAGCATTTTCTACCATAGGCTTCAGCTATAAAATATTAAGGTCCTAGAGCAAGATCATTAAAGTCCTACCTTTAGTTCTACAGATAGGGAAATGCCTGGTTAAAGGTAGTGTTGGAGAATCAGAATAGACTTCAGGCAAAGAAGAAAGCTAGCTGGGATCTGAACGGAGGATAGGTAGGAAGTTCGGCAAAACCTGTTTTTGGTATTGCTTTGATTTTTCTTTTACATCTGTCCTTATGATAAACCCTGTAAGAAAAACTCCGGAAATGCCTGTAAACAAGTTATCTTTTAAAAGTCAATACATGTTTACCCACAACAATTTGGCTTTTTTAGTTCACAATACATTGTGAAATAGGGATTGTGCAAGGTTCACCTAGAATTAGGATTTTGTGTGTTTATGTTTCCAGTGAGATAAAAATGCCTTGTGGCACTTGTCCCTTCGGTGGGACCTCTTTATAATGTTCATGGGGGAAAGAAATGAACATTTACCTTTGAAGCTACTTGTGTCATGTCAGATTGTGGCAGCAGATAGCTTCCTATGGTGCCATGGCATGCTCATCTTTGCCATAATGAACTTTGTAATGGCAGAGAGCCTATTACATATCTCATTTAATCCTCACATTATTCCCATCTTAATGTTGCAGAAACTTAGGCAGTGAAAAGATAGATACTGTATTCCTTTGGGTCTAAGACACACTCACCCTCCAACATCTGTGTTTAAACACTGGAAATTGAGGTGTTACAGGATAGGTGTTACCTTGAATGAGATAACATCAGGGTTACAGTAAGTTGAAGAGCTGGTTTTATGATCCAGTCTTATCAGCTGCCAAATCCTGAATCTTTCATACCATGTTGTTTCCTGAGGCTAAGGCAACAGAAGAATTTTAATTTAATCACAGAGGCACAAATTGATGTCCTGGAGTTTTTCCTGCCCCACCACTGCACTAGGATATTCTCTCAGGAAAAAAACATTTCCATACCAATTCTATGTGATGATGGTGCTACTTCAGAGTAGTGATTTCCTGTAGGCGCATTAATTTTTAAATAGTTGCGAGTTCTTTGACCAGTTAGTGAAAGAAATGATTTGTTTCAGAGGATTCTAGTGTTCCTGTAGTAATGAAAGAAAAATTATGTATAGGTATTTCTTCCTCATACTTCCTCACCTTTCACTTTTATCCTTTTTATAAGGAGACAAAGTAAGAATAAAATAGTTCAAGATCAGGATGATTGCCTTAGAAGATATAGGTTTTTGAGGAATCCAGCATTAGCATTTCTTTATGTAGCATTTAAGTCAGCTGCTTCTTTGGTATATTGATTTGTTTGCATTTTAAGGAAGAAAAATGAGCTACAGTTTCCTTAATGGTATGCTTCTGGTTTATAGATCGTTCTTATATGCGATTAACAGAAAAGGAAGATGAATCACTGCCAATAGATGTAAGTTGATTATTTATATTCTATTAACATACATTTTAAAAATTAGCCATATACTTTATAATAATATTTTACTGGTTTTTATTCTCTTAAATTTTTAGACATAAAATTACATCTGTTTGCTACTTTACTTTTTGTCACACACTGTAAAACCCAAACATTTGTAGACAAAATATTTCTGTTTGGTTTCTAGAACTGTAGTCCTAGAAGTTGCTCTTCCATAGTTTGAGATGCACTTTTTAAGTGCATCTGATTATTTGACTTCATTTTTTGGAAAAGTTCCTTTTTATATTAAGTTTAAGAACAAGCAAAATTAGCAAAACATTGTTTAGGGACATATGCATAGGAGGTAAAATTAAAGGAAAACAAGGACCTGTTCTTTTTAGCTAAAATGATATATGAATTTCACTCACAATTTTATTTTTTGGGATTTTAAATTATAAAATAGTAAGTTCTTTGTAACAGAATCAAACAGTAAGTGTAAAAAGTAAAACCTCAAACAAACAAAAAATTTTACCCCATTGTTCAGCAGTTCTACTTCCATTCTGATATTTGGAGTGTACCAGTAGTTCAGTTTTCTTCCTATGCGTAAACATTATCTTCATTTATGTCTGTATAGTTCTACCTAATCAAAACACAGAGGTTTTCTTTTTAAAAGTTATTATGCATGTGTGTGTATGTATATGTATGTGTAGTTTTATAATTAGATTTTTATTACTCAATTTTTCTTCAGATATTTTCATGACTACTTATAGATTTACCACATTTTTGTTAATGGTGCCTATGATTGCATTGTGTGAAGTAGGTCTTGGTACTCTGGTGCTGGAAATGTGAACTGGTATAACATATGACATTATGTTTTAATTTACAAAAAGTAATGGCTTGTGGCTAATTTTGACTAGGTTGTCTATAATTAAGAGTATGGTAGATGCGGCTATTAACTCATTCTCCCATCATCATTGCTTTGTGATAGAAACACACACATTCATGTACATCTATTTAAAATAACTTCCTCCTGTTTACCAATTGAAAAATTTTCAATATAGAGAAAATCCCAGTGAAAAAATATGCCTGTAATCCCATGTTGATTAATGTCAAGCTTGCAAGTTTGTGCTTGAACAACCTCTTTGGAAAGCAGTTTAGTATTACCTAATAAAGTGGAATGCACATACTCCACACCAGTGATTCTCCTCCCATGCACCAGGAGAAGTACACAAGGATATCCATATTGACGTTGTAAGGCAAAGTAGCACACAGGAAACAGCCCCCATTGCTATCAAAAATGGAATGGATGAATTGTAGTATTTTCATATAATGGAATACAAAACACAATGAAAAGGAATGGACTACAGCTATATACGGCCACAGGGATGAATCTCACAAAAATTCAAAATATGGAAAAGTAAGCAATATATGTTTTAGAGGTGATACCTAGCTGGTAAAATTGTAAAGAAAAGCAACTGATTAATACACGGTTTGGGGCGATAGTTAACTTTGGGAGAGAGAGTGAAGAATATAATTACAGAAAGACACGTGGGACTTGAAAGGTGCTGGTAATGTTCTGTTTCTTAAGCTGGGTGGAGGGTAAGAGGTATTGTTCTTATACTCTATGATATTTAATGATAATACATTAACATTTTTAATTTTTCTTGGAAGCCGATAGTAGTTAATAACTCAGTTTCAAATGGCTCAGTACCTGTTTTTGCTACTGAAGCAAAACCCACAAGTATTTTTGTAGGCAATCCACAGACTATAGATTTTGTTGTGTTTAGGTCCAAATCCTTTAAACTGAGAATTGACTCCTTCATCAGATCTGGAGAAATACGTGTTAGCGGCTAAAAGGAGATGGAAAGAAAATTGTAAATTTGTATAATAATATTTGTATATAATTTAGTAATCTTAATCTTTATACTCACAGATAGTTCTTCAGACACTTCTGGCCTTTGCGGTTACCTGTTATGGTATAGTTCATATTGCAGGGGAGTTTAGAGATATGGATGCCACCTCAGAACTAAAAAATAAGTAAGTTTCCTCTTTTCATAGGCATTTAATTTCTTACAGGTTTTGTTTCATTTACATAATTTTAAATGTATGTGTTCTGGTGCATAAAAGTTAGTTTTTACATTTTAATTATACAATTTATATGACTAATGAAGTAAAAATATTGAGGCAGTGTTTGATATGATAGAAAAAATGGAAGTTGAATGACTGATTATTGACATTAGAATAGCATGTTATATTATGGTTGCTTAAAATTACTTATTGGTTGGTTAGATGGACAGATAGATGGAAATAAATATATTGGTAAATATTCCCTCAGAATTTTTTTCCTTCCTCCCTCCCTCTCTCCCTCCCTCCCTCCCTCCCTCCCTCCCTCCCTTCCTTCCTTCCTTCCTTCCTTCTTTCCTTCCCTCTCTTTGCTTCCCTCGCTTTCCTTCCTTCCCTTCTCCCTACCTTTTTTCCTCTGTCCTAGCTTAGTCTTTGGAAGAATAACTGGTTTTATGTTTCCTCTATCATTTGAACCTAGTCTGTGACATGCACTCTGTTCTCAGGCCCTTTTCTATTCCTGGGTTAAAGTATATTTCTTGTTCTGCTTTTTTTTTTTTCCCTGTACTTCTTCTAAGCTGTTTTTGTGAACTTTGCTTTTTATAAAGTCATCCTTTAGCCTTGCTCAATTCCATGTCTGGACTTTACCCACTTTCTTTATCCTGGAAAATTTAACCCTTTACAATATTTCCTTAGGATTCACAATAAACATGCCTCAGAGGACACTTGCCCTCTTTTTACTTTTTAGTTTATATTTTAAATAGTCACATCTCAGGCTTCCTGTTTTATGTGGGGGGGATATGCTTGGATTTTCAGGTGGGCTGACTTTGAGATCTGAGTTTTATCAGAGGCAGAATTCTTTTTCTCCAGGAAAGTAATATTTAAAAACAAACTAATACTAAAAGCCCTACACTTAGTTGTTTGTGAACTTTTTTTAGACCACATATCTCTCACTGGAAAAGAAGCAAGAATACTCCACTATCACCACCCACTACTATTCTTACAAAGAGTCTACTCAGAATCACAGGCAATGGGCCAGGAAAGAAAAAAGTTAAAGAGAATGGCATTTAGTAGGTGGTAGTAAAATATATGAGTTTGGACAACAGCAGGTACAGGAGGGCCAAAAGAATTTATGGATTTTTTTTTTGTTATCCTTGAAAGATTCTTAGAAAACAGATCTGTGAAATTATCATATACCTTGAATAGTGAGGGCCAAATGAGACTAATCAAAGGTACCATCTTTTTTAAAAAAGACTATTTGGCATGGGCTAATTTCAGATCTACAGAAGTGATTAAAGTTCAGCAGTTACTTGTGTTATTCATAGGCATACTGGAAGGACTGGCGGAATTAAGAAAAATGCTAAGGCTATATGTTGCTTTTCCAGGTTTCTTATTTTCCTTATAAAGGAAAAAAATAAGATACAGTATGATTGCCATTTATGGTCTAATTTCATGGATTTGAAGATAGTTTAAAATATAATCCATAGCAAATTCATAATTCATCAGAAGTCTGCTTATTTTCTAATAGGGTTTCATAAAGGGTTTATCTAAAATTGATGCTTTTTTTCTTTCAAGGACATTTGACACATTAAGGAATCATCCATCATTTTATGTATTTAATCATCGTGGTAGAGTACTGTTCCGGCCTTCAGATACAACAAATTCTTCAAACCAAGATGCGTTATCCTCTAATACATCGTTGAAGTTACGAAAACTTGAATCACTGCGTCGTTAAGATTTTTACAGATCATAACAACAATACAGGACACAGAGCTGGAATATTGGAGTTTGGGGCATAAAACACTCCCATATCAGTATTTATAATGATCTTTTAGACCTAATTTTAAAAAGTCTGTGGCCCTTGTTTGTACACTGTAATCAAATTATTATTTTGGGGAGAATTTCAAGATTTATTTATTTTTTTTAATTGAATTTATTGGGGTGATATTGGTTAATACGATTATATGGGTTTCAGGTGTACAGTTCTATAATACATCATCTGTATATTGTGTGTTCACCACCCTAAGTCCCCTTTTGTCACCATTTATCCCCATTTACCCTCTTCTACCTCCCCCCATCCTCTTTCCCCTCTAGTAATTACCATACTGTTGTCTGTGTCTATGAGTTTGTTTTTGTTGTTTTTCTGCTTAATCTCTTCACCTACTTCATCCAGCTCCCCAGTCCCCCTCCCCTCTGACAGCTGTGAGTCTGTCTGTTCTCTGTGTCTATGAGTCTGTTTCTATTTTATTTGTTAGTTTATTTTGTTCATTAGGTTCCACATATAAGTGAAATCATATGGTACTTGTCTTTTCTGACTGGCTTATATCACTTAGCATAATACTCTCCAGGTTCATTCTTGCTGTTGCAAAAGGTAAGATTTCCTTATTTTTTACTGCTGTGTAGTATTCCATTATATAAATGTCCCACAGCTCTTTTATCCACTCATCCCCTAATGGGCACTTGGGCAACTTCTAGACCTTGGCTATTGTAAATAGCACTGCAATGAACATGAAATTATTGATGTAGTATAAGTTATCTGTGAAATGAGTCTTTGATCTTTCATAGGAAAAAGTCTTTTTTTCTTTTAAAACAAATTTACATTTTCTGTATGGATCACTGTTTTGAACATATTTCTTTGAGAAAAATATGTTGTTTTATAATTATTTATTAGATTCTTTTCTTTTGCACTTCAGTTTCTAGGATCCTTTGGAAACAGTGTGACTACTGCACTTTGCAGAATGTATGATAGTGAAGTGGTCTTCATTTCTTAAAAACAAATGGACTTCTCTAAAGAGATATAGAAAGGTGACATCAGATTTTCTTATACCCTCTAAGAAGTGGCTCTGCTTCAGCAGCTACTTGCCAGTTTTTAATTAATCCATGACTTCTCACCCACCTGACTCCTGTATACCATCTAACATCAGCTGTCTTGGTTCATCATTTCTCTGGAGTTTTGTGTGCAGTGAGCAATTTTTGTGTCGGAAATTCTTTGTCATAACAAATGTATTTAACAAATTTAACTTGCTGTACATCTAGTTGTATTCTCTTCATTTCACTGTAAAAATTTCCCTAATTGATTGTGTAGTCTAAGAATAGTTGAAGATACACAAAAAAGACCCTTCGTGATAGAATCACCCTGCCTATGTAGAAGAATAGTAATCACTGACGAAAACTGATTACTTGTCATTAGCCACTTTAACTTATTCAAAGTCTTTTATTTTATCACAAACTGTACTAGCGAATTAGTAAAAATAAACTTCTCATTAAAGGTACACTTCAAAAGAACTGGACCCAGTATGTTCTAAATATTTGGAACTAATATATTTAATTTTTTTTAATTGAGGTCATTTAAGAAATTGTTTCATAGCTTCTGACTTCTAATAGGCTTAGTGTTTTCCATCTTCATGGCATGTTACTGAAGATGAGAATGAGGATACAGAGTAGAACTTTTTTAGAAACAGCAGTTTTAGTTTTAAGGACATTTGGCTAGCTCTTTGATTTTCAGAAAGCTTAACATTTCTATGTAGAGAACATTGCTTTTATTGAAATCTGCAGGTATGAAAACTTTGCATATGTTGACTTGTATAAATGTAAAGAAAGGGAGTAACTATGCAGATTTGAAAAGAAAATGTGCTTTTAGGGAAGGGTCATATGATGCCCTTACCTTTGATGGCATTTTTTTCCATTAGAAGTGAACCTCAGCTCTTCTATTCTGTCTAGTAATGCACAACCCCAAAGCAGGATATTATTTTTTCATTGTTGTTTTGTTTAGCTTTGTTTTGCCAATCTTCTCTTTCTATGGAACACTGACTCTGCTCTCTAAGAAGAGCAAAGTTAAAAATCTTCTGATAATGTAATTTAGAAATAAATTTAAAATGTGAAGTCAGGTGTTAAACGTGGTGATAATAAAATCAAAATAGTGTGTGAGAAAGCAGTTCTTTACATTAGACTGTTATACCATTCATTCAGATATGACTAGATTCACAACAGCCTCTTGTTTTCTTCTCTCTTCAGGCTGTCTTCCTTTCCTAACGTGTTTTTATAACAACTTTTTAAAGCTACAATTCACATACCTTACAATTCACCCATTTAAAAGGTGCAATTCAGTGGATTTATAACAGAGTCACAAGTTGTGCAAGCACAACCACAGTGAATTAAAGAACATTGTTATCACTCCAAAGAGAACCCCTGTACCCTTTAGTGGTCATATCTCATTTCCTTCCCATGCCTCCTAGCCCTGAGCAAGCACTAATCTACTTTCTGTGTCTATGACTTGCCTATTCCTGTCATTTAATATAGAAGAATTCATACAGTAGCTGGTCTTTCATGACTGGCTTCCCAAGTAGGGTTTTGTGTTATGTGTAGTTTATCTTTAAATAAACTTCTCTTCTTGAGAACTGTGACTGCTCTGAAAGGCAGTGGTTGGTAAAATCAGTAGATGTAAAGATGGAGGGTTTCTTAGTCAATCTTGTGCTGAATAGTTTTTCCTCATAACCAATTTATTCATGATATACTACTACTTATATTTTGTCCAGTCTCTAGAATGGATATTGAAATCTTTGCCTGCCTCATCAAGAAAGTCCTGCTAAAAATGATGCCAAGTAATTTGGCAAATAATTGACATAGCAGTTTTCAAGTGTGTCTCACTTTGGCAGCAGCTTATATAACTTGGGCCAGGTGAACTTCCCAAAGTTCTTTAATTTCTTCCAGTGAATTTCTGCTGTCTTTTCCAAGTTTATGTCATAGGACTGGAGTTGATTGGATATGTCATGACACTGCAAAATGGGTTAAGTTCAAAATTCATTTCTAATACTATTAGACAGCTCACTACTTAGGGTAATTCCCCAAAATGTACTCATGTGAATTAGTTTGGCCTGTAGGTGACTGTGATTTCAGTGACATTCGAAGTCTGAACTATTGAAAGCTCTCTAGGATATGGGAAATCTCACTTCTTAATAATCACGGAACCAGCCAAATGCCATGGGCTAATGGCTTAGCTGCAGAAAATGTAGATCTGTGAATTGGAGACTATGATGCTCTGTAACTCCCCAATGATTGTTTCCTTAGCACCGTAGCTTCTTCAGTGGCGTGGCAGCATCTTCCCAGTTGTATGTGGCCTGTTTCCATGATGTATTGAGTAGTGTTGTTTCTTGTGAGCATCAATGCCTGTAACACCAAGCAAAGCACATTCTTTTGAATGTTTCCTCTCTTTTAATGACCTGCCCTATCTAATAAATAAATGATTCTCTCACCTTCCCCCTGTTTTGGGTAGTGTTTTCTTTTTTACTTTTAATCACATTTTCTTCTGCTTCTCTATCCCCAGAAAAATGTAAGAGCTAATTTTATGACTTTTTTCCAATGTGATGCTGATTTACTAAATTCAATAGATACTTTACTTTTTATTGTATATGTAAGGTCTTATTGTAATTTTATGCTTTTGGGGGTCAAAATAGAATATAATCTTATTTATATTTGTAAATAATCAAATAACTATTTGATTATTTTGGGGTGTAAGAATTTTGGTCCTTGAGCAGCAAACAGTGTCTAATCATCTCATCACAAATTTGTTATATAGCCAAGCTGCCATTATAAAATGTCACTTTATACTTAACAGGACATCATTATTAAAGCATTAGGGAGCAAATCTAAAGTTTCATGAAAATCCAAAAGGAAGTTCTTCTGGTTTGCAAAACTTGGCACTTATCTGTAGTATTTTTAAAAAATAGCATTACCAGTATCTAAATCTACCTATATCTCAAAACAACCTACTAATCAAATATTCTTTACAAAGGAAAAAAGAAAGATAATATATGAACATAGGGAAAAAAATCAGATGGTACTGAAAGGAATGAAATGAAAACTTGCCCCTTCCTTTCTACTTCTAATACCTTTCTCCAAAGGAAATCAGCTTGAAGTGTCTTGTATGTTCTTTCAGGGACAACTTATTTGCCAGGAAATACAAACTTTTTAAAAGTTAACATTAATGGATTCAGATGGTATTATACTCTTCTGAACCTTGTTTTTTTTTGCTGTCTTATAAGATCTTTCTGTATCAGTATATACAGAAATACCTCATTCATTTAATGACTTGTGATATTCCAATGTATAAATGTGTTATAAAATTTTAAACATTTTTCTATTGCTAAATCATATTGCAGTGAACATACTTGTACATATAATGTATACTGACAGCGTTCATTACCAGCAATAGAATTGCCGGGTCAAAGGGTATTTTTTATTTTAGTAGTTATTGCCGAATTATTCTCCAGAAATCTTTGCCTAGTTATACTGCCACATATAATGTATAAAAATAATTATTTTATGAGGTCCAAGCCAATACTGGGTACCAAATTTTTAAAAATTTGATCATCTGAAAGTGAATAAATGGTATCTTGCAGTTTAATGAAGCTGTAATGCATTTTAATGAAGGAGATGGAACACAGTTTTGTGTTTATTGGTTGCTTTTTCTGTGAACTGTGTGGTCATGTTCTATTTTTTATTATATGATTTTCTATTGATTAATATGTGCACTTTGTAAGCTATGAAAATTGGCTCATTGTTATATATTTAATAATATTTTCCTGAGATTTACTTACTGATTTATATGTGTAGTTAAACTTATCAGTCTTTATAGTTTCAATGACTTGTGCCTTGCTAAGAAAGGCCTTCTTTACATTTAAAAATAAATTTAATGTATTTTTCCAATACTTTTAATTTTTTAACCTTTAAATCTTTGATTCATTTGGGATTAATTTGGGTAGAAGAAATGAGGTAAGAATTCAACATTTTTCTTCCCCAAATAGCTATCTGGTTATTCCAATACAATTGACTTTTTAAAAAAGATTTTATTTATTTACTTTTAGAGAGTGGAAAAGGTAGGGAGAAGGAGAGGGAGTGAAACATCAATATGCGATAGACACATGGATTGGTTGCCTCTAGCTCCCTGCCCCCACTGGAGACCTAGCCTGCAATTCAGGCATGTGCCTTGATTGGGAATCAAACCAGTGCCCTCTCGCCTTGCAGGCCTGCACTCAATCCACTGAACCGCACCAGTCAGGGCAATGCTATTGACTTTTTTACACACTAATTTGAAAAGGCATCTTCATTCATACATTGGATTTCTATAAGTATTTAGATCTGTTTTTGATTAAATTGTTTGGGATGACATTGGTTAATAAGATTATAGATTTCAAATGTACATTTCTTTTTTTTTAATACATTTATTTATTTTTTTTGAATTGATTATGCTGTTACAGTTGTTCTATTCCCCCTTCATTCCCCTCCACCCTGCCCCCCCAACCCCACCATTACCCCCCTTTAGTTTATGTCCATGTGTCTCAAGTCCTTTAGGTTCTATATTTCCCATACTATTCTTGCCCCCCCCCCCCATCTATTTTCTATCTACTGTCTATGCTACTTGTTTTCTGTACCTTCTCCCCCCCGTCTCCTCCTCCCACTCCCCTGTTGCTAACCCTCCTTGAGATCTTCATTTCTATGTTTCCACTCCTGATCTAGCTGTCCTTTTAGTTTGCTTTCGTTTTAGGTGTGGTTGTTAATAACTGTGAGTTTGTTGTCCTTTCACTGTTCATGTTTCTTTAACTTCTTTTTCTTAGATAAGTCCCTTTAACATTTCATATAATAAGGGCTTGGTGATGATGAACTCCTTGAAAGAAATATTCCAAGTCATGAAATCTAAAGACCTACAACCAAGATTGCTCTACCCAGCAAAACTTTCATTTAGAACGGAAGGACAGATAAGGTGCTTCTCAGATAAGACCAAATTCAAATGTACATTTCTATGGTACATGGTCTATATATTGCATTATCCATTTTTGAGCTCTAGTCTGTTGTAAAATTACCAGTCTTTTTTAGTGTATTTTATTGATTATGCTATTACAGTTTTTCCAATTCTTCCATTTATTCCCCTTCCACCCTGCACCCCCAACTCTCCAGCATCCCCCTCACTGAGTTTATATACATGGGTTGTACATATAAGTTCTTTGAATTCTGTTTTTCATACCATTCTTGACCTCCCCCCATCTATTTTATGCCTACCAATTATGCTTCTTATTCCCTGTACCTTTCCCCACCATTCCTCCCCTCTCCCTTTCCACTGAAAACCCTCCCTGTGGTGTCCATTTCTCTGATTCTGTTCTGGTTCTAGTTGTTTGCTTAGTTTTTCTTTTTGTTGTTTTTCTTTTTTCTTTTTTTTAGGTTTAGTTCTTGAAACTTGTGAGTTTGTTGTCATCTCACTGTTTGTTGTCATCTTACTGTTTATAGTTTTTGATCTTCTTCAATTTCTTAGGTAAGTCCCTTTAACATTTCACATAATAAGGGCTTGGTGATGATGAACTCCTTTAACTTGACCTTATCTGGGAAGCACTTTATCTGCCCTTCCATTCTAAATGATAGCTTTGCTGGACAGAGTAATCTTGGATGTATTTTCTTTCCTGCAAGACAGTCTTTATGGGCATTCTTTTGTAGGTAACTCCTTTCCTCTTGCTGCTTTTTAATGTAACCACATTTGTGAAGCATCAAACTTTTTTTTAAAGATTTTATTTATTTATCTTTAGAGGGGAAGGGAAGGAGAGAGAGAGGGAGAGAAACATCGATGTATGGTTGCCTTTTGTGCATTCCCTGCTGGGAATTGGCCTGCAGGTAACCGACTTGCAACCCAGGAATGTGCCCTGACTGGGAATCGAACCGCGATCCTTTGATTTGCAGGCCCTCGCTCAATCCACTGAGCTACAACAGCCAGGGCCTCTTGCTGCTTTTAAGGTTCTCTCTTTATCTTTAATCTTGGGAAACTTAATGATGATGTGCCTCTGTGTGTTCCTCCTTGGGTGCAACTTCTCTGGGACTCTCTGGACTTCCTGGAAATCTGTTTCCTTCACCAGATTTTCCTTCATTATTTGTTCAAGTAAGTTTTCAATTTCTTGCTCTTCTTCTTCTTGCGCCCCTATAATTCAGATATTGGGACATTTAAAGTTGTCCCAGAGGTTCCTAAGCCTCTGTTCATTTTTTTTTTTTTTTGAATTCTTGGTTCTTCATTCTGCTCTGGTTGGATGTTTATTTCTTCTTCCATTTGTTCCAAATTGTTGATTTGAGTCCTGGTTTCCTTCCTGTCACTGTTGGTTCCCTGAATATTTTGCTTTATTTCTCTTTGGGTGGCCTTCATTTGTTCTTTCATTTTGTGACCAAGATCAATCAGTTCTGTGAGCATTTTGATGACCAGGGCTTTGGACTCTCCATCAGATAGGTTGGCTATCTCCTCACTGCTTAGCTTTCTTTCTGGAGTTTTGCTCTGTTATTTCATTTGGGCCATATTTCTTTGTCTTGGTGCACCTGTTAAGTTATAATGGGGCAGAGCCTTGTATATTCTCCAGGGCGGGGCAACCATCTTTGCTGCATTGTGGCACTGCTTGTGGGGGAGGGACCAGAGAGGGAACAATGCAGCTCCCCTGCTCAGCTCTAGCTCCACTTTCCAATGAACTCTTGTATGAGACTGGGAGTTTCTCCCACTGTGGCAACTGCCATAGTCCACAGTCAGCTCTGAGTATCAGTTTCCAGTTCAGTCTGCCCTGCCCATGTGGTCCACTGCCTTGTCAGGAGTTCGCTCAGCCAGCCCCCACCTCTCTGAGGGTTCTTTCAGTCAGCCCCACCTTTACAGTCCTCAGCCTTGCCGCAGGTTCTCTCCATTTGACTCTCTTACCGGTCTGGTTGGTCTGATTAATTGTTTCTTTAATTCCTTGGTTGTCAGATTTTTATGCATTTTGATTTTCTGGCACTTCTGGTTGTTTATATATTTTAGATTGGTTGTTATTCTCCTTTTAGTTGTGAAAGGAAGCAAAGGGTTTCTACCTACACCTCCATGTTGGCCAGAACTTGAATGTCCAAAAATTACAAGTCAATTTTTTTTAAGTTGTTACACATTTTCATATTTGGAATTGGTTATCTATACCTCATTATTATTACTTTTAGGATTTTTCCCTAGTTTTTCTTGCATGTTTACATTTCCAGATAAACTTCAATATAATTTTTTCTAATTATAGAATCTTATATTTATCCCCAAATTTTATTTAGAAATATATCAAACTTACAGCAAATATAAATGAATAGTATGATGAATTCAATGTACATTTTTTAAAGATTTTATTATCTTCAGAGGTGAAGGGAAGGAGAGGGGGAGAGAAATATCAATGTATGGTTGCCTCTCGTGCATCCCCTGCTGGGAATTGGCCTGCAACCCAGGGCTG